AGATGACAAACAGCAGAGGTGCCAGGACAGTTCCTTGGGGCACTGAGCTTTTTACCTCGCTGGTGCTGGATCTTCTGTTTGCTACTAATGTTTGTGTTCTGTGTGTTAGGAACTCGAAAATCCATCTGCCTACCTTCCCCGTAATGCTTATGACCATTATTTTGTGCGCTATCACTACATGATCGCATTTGTCAAACGCCTTGGCAAAATCTGTTTAGATCACAGTCTTCCAATTCCTCCGTAATTCTGTCATGATGGTTCAGCAGCTATGACAGGCATGATTGTCCTGCTCTAAAACCATACTGATTGGGGTTATGCTGGTTGTGCTGCTCCATAAAATTTGAAATCTGCAGTCTCAACACTCTATCGAAGATTTTTATGATGCGAGAAGTTAGGGCTACTGGTCTGTAATTTTTAGCTAGTGCTCTTTGCTAGTGCAAAGGAGCTATGTCTACACTTTCTAAGGCCTCCGGTATTTCACCAAGATCTAAGCTCTTTCTCCAAGGAATACTGAGGGCTCGTGCTAGTGGTACTTTGCATTTCTTTATAAATAGAGCATTCCATGAATCTGGTCCAGGTGCTGAGTGAGTGGGCATGTTGTACATTTCTTTTTCGAAATCTATGGGATTTGTACTAATATCACTTAGTTGGTCTGTGCGGCCTTCTGCTGGAGTGAAAAATGTTTCTGCATTTTCTACCTTGCTGTCATTTAGTGGGTTGCTGAACACCGACTCATACTTTTAGGCTTTTACTCATTTCCTGTTCATTGTCAGTTTACGAATTTCCTTTCAATAATGGTCCAGTTCAACAGGTAGTTCTTAGCTTGAATTTTGCATAGAACTAGAAATATTTTGGGTTTCTTGCAATATCCTCTATGGCCCTTTTTTCTCTTTGTACTTCATCTGTTAGGTATGACATCCTAAGTGATCTCTCGGCTAAGACTATCTTTCCTCTGTTACAGCATATTTGTGTTTCTAAGCAATTCAGTAACCCCTTTTCTTCTTCTGTACCTTCTCCTACGCTCTCTCTGTCTGATCTGGGTTTCCTCAACGGTACGTGCTTCATACATACCTTATATGCTTATGTATTCAGCTTCTCTAGGCACTGGTGGGGATTTAGGGCACTTATGTCTGATTCCCAGCATATGTCTGATAGCTCTTGGTTTATTTTTGTAACTGTTATGTCTCTGATCAGTTCCTCGTTGTTTGTGAATATCAAATCCAGGGTATTTTCATTTCTAGTGGGATCAATTATCTTTTGGTTCAATAAATACTTTTCACAAAGCCTCATTAGTTCCCTGGTATGTACCTGTTGAGCCAGGGTGCTTCCGGAAGATATTTCTGGTATAACCTTGCGTTGCGCCATCTTCCATTTTACATGTGAGAGACTAAAATCTCCAAGGAGTAAAATATATGGTGTGGGATTTTCTAGCCTATCCACATAGCTATCTATCTTCCTTAACTGATCTGTGAATTCCTGCTGGTGGTTTGTATACTAGGATAATTACCAAATTCCTATTTTCAAATTTAATGCCTAGAATTTCAACTATATCATTCGTAGAATTCAGCACTTCTGTGCAACAGAAAGTATCCTTTACATAGAATCCTACTCCTCCCTGTGACCTATTAATTCTATCACATCTATACATGTTATAGTTTTCTATCTTTATCTCTCTGTCCAAAACATCCCTTGTGTGTGTTTCTGTAAATGCCCCAGACATGGCATTCACTTCTGATACGAGCCCACTGTCATAACTTTGTCGTTTATATTTGCTTTCAAACCCTGAATATTTGCAAATATGAAGTAGGAATTACCATTTTTGCTGTGTGTTTCGTTAGTGTCACTGGTGATGTACTACCTGGTATGACCCCTGGTGTACATACCCCTTGTTTCTCCAGTGCTGCCTTTGCATGTGATTGTGTTTTCGGCCCTGATGGGATGATGCTTGATTTGGAATGTCCCATTGTCCAGCAGTGTTTCTGATATCTTCTGGTAAGATGTTGAATAATCTAGGGCCACGAATGTTGATACAGTGTTTCTTTATTGTACACACCGCACCCCTGCTTTTCACTGAGTTTATTTTGCACTCCCTTCCATATCTCTCGCCTTAATATGTTAAGGCAGTGTGTAGATTTCGGACCAGGCCCTCGAGTACCTTCTAGGTACTCAGTGACTCGAAGTCATATAGTCTATGAATTCACTTTAAGTCGTAATAAACAACTGTAAATGAATAAACAACAGGGTTACAGTTGGTGCCACTGAAGAACATATACAGAAGTACTGTTTCCGAATCTTCCCGATTAGAAGCTACGTAGTTCAGTGTTAAAGCTTTGGACCTGTCAGTTCCAGGACCACAGTTCAAGCCCCCGTTCATCTATCTGTTTATTCATGTGTATATATGTGATTTTCTTTCTTTTTTGTGGGTCACCCTGCCTCGGTGGGAGACGACCGACTTGTTGAAAAAAAAAAAAAAAAAAAAAAAAAAAAAAAAAAAAAAAAAAAAAAAAAAAAAAAAAAATATGTGAATATATATACTTTTATGCATGAATTTATTATGTATTCAGAATAGGACAGTTATACTACTATGACCACAACACTGTGAAAATATTATCAATACCTTAAATTTCGCCTAATAATTAATATCTGTTTAAAGATTTAGATAGAGACAATTCTTAAAGTGTTTTCTAAACGGTTTTAAAATGTTATAAATGTCTATTTAAAAATTATCACTTTGATCAATTTATTGATAGTCCAAGAGGTAAAATTTGTATTATAAAGTTAGCTAATGAAGAGGCTAAAGTACTCAATAAAATTCTCCATCTAGGTAAGACAATCCCCTAGCTAAGTTAGACCACCCTATTAAGTTGGACCCCCATCGATATTAGACCCTATCTAAATGTGACCCCCATCTAAATTAGATCCCATTATCTAAGACACAACCATCCTCAGGCAGATAAGGGATTCTCCAGTCATCAAATGGAATCCAATTGTTTTTTTAAGTTGTTGAACTATTTTAAATTAAAACTAACTTGTAGCTTTACAGGTTCAACTTGTAGAGTTTCATTCCTCACCACAACATTCTTCAGTTAGGGAAAGAAAATCGGCATCATAATTTGGAATATTAGTACCTATGCAGCCGCCCAATAATAACCTATCGTTCAAGAAAACATAAGAATATAAGGAAGGAGCACTGCAGAAGGCCTATTAGCCCAAGCTAGGCAGGTCCAACTCTCATCCACCCATACTTTCTCATGTACTCGTTTAATCTATCTTTTAAGCTACACAAGGTTTTAGCGTCAGTGATACTATTCAGGAGTTTGTTCCACTCATCCACTACAATGTTACCAAACCAAAGCATTCCTATATCGTTTTTAAATATAAATTTTATTATCTTCAACCCTTTAATGCAAATCCTGTCTTGATAAGATTTTTTTATCATGTTATTTACATCCCCTATTTATTCATGTTTTCCATTTATACACCTCAATCATATCCCCCCAAATTCTACGTCTTTCCAGAGAGTGCAGATTCAGTGCCCTCCTTCTATCCTCGTAGGAAATATTTCTGATACATGGAATCAACCTTGTCTTTCTTCTCTATGTTTTCCAGTGCATTTATGTCTATTCTCCAATACGGTGGCCAGAACTGCGCAGCATAACTGAGCAGCATAATCTAAACGAACCCTAACGAATGATGTACAGTGTTGAAGAATAATAACCTCAAGACTCCTGTTATTTACACTTCTTTATGGGAAGAAAAAATCTGTTCACTTTGTTACGAACATTTATACATTGTTGTCTTGCAGTTAGACGCACCAATCCTAAAAAGCTAAACAGAAGAACTATTCTTTAGGTATCACATGGAATCCAACAGTTCCACATTGTAAATTTGCACCAGTTCTTGATATCTTAGTAAATTTGCACCAATACATAGAGGCATAGACAAGATCTTTCACAGTGGTATACGATTTTTTTCAGTTTCTGTCCATTATTGGAACTGTTTCTCTGAAAATTGTCCTTCATTTGTTATAAGTTATATATTTTTTTAGAAATTCACCAGCCCTTTTCTGACTGTTCTATACACTTTTCTATGTTCTCATTCAACTTTTTATCGCCTTACAGGCTTTTTCAGCAGAACAAATCTTATGGAGAAATGTTATGCTTCTATATTCAGTTTTTCCTTGCAATGCAATAGTGATATGCAATACCGAGAAGACGAAGCAATAGACACCTATGTAACCTTGTGATATCTTTCATTGAACTAATAAATCCACTGGAGTGTTATGGGTTAGGATGCTCAGGACAGTTTCCCAGATAATGCCTGATAGTTCTTCAGTTTCGTCTGACCTAGTCAGTTATCTGATCTGATGTTAAATTTACTGGATATCCCTTCAGGTAGGCAATTTCTTAGGTTCCCTATACAATGAGTTATGCATGTTTGTGCTTAAATAAATTTGGGATCGGTGAAGGTAATATCTAATGTGTTCCTCACTGTTCATGAAGATCAAGTTCAGTGTATTTTATCTTAAGATAGGTTCTAACCAAATTTTTCTTAGAGCCCTAATAGGTCTCTGGTACAGTGTAGGATTTTCAAAATATAGGATTACTGAAGCAGCTGTGTTGTTCCCTCAGGTCTTCCGTGATTTCCTCAGCCATTGTTGACAGTAATATTACCAGGTTCATGTTCCCTCAACAGTACTTAGTACTCCTACCGAATTATTTGAGGAGTTCAGCTGTTGCGTAAACAAAAACTGATTTTAATATTCAACATTGACTTTGTCAATGGTCCAAGTCGGACCGAAACGTCGTCGTAAGCTTCTCTCTTTTATGTGCGGGTTATTTGTGTATCGTTCCAGTCACGGTATTGTGCCTTTTTGTTATTTACATAAATTAAGACAGAATTTTTTTATATAAACACAATAACTGGCTCTAGTTACCAGTACAAACCGGTCGAATTTAGAAGTCAGAAATAACATGTTGTATGTGAAGATCATGACGTACCTATTGAGACCTATTGCACCGTTCCCTTTATCCAGGAGAAGCCGCAGGTGACCTTCGTAAATCTCCAGAGCAATGAAATCTGACCTGTGGGTGAGAAGATAACAATCACTGATTAGTGAAGAGAAAGTTAACAATCACTGATTAGTGAAGAGAAAGATAACAATCACTGATTAGTGAAGAGAAAGATAACAATCACTGATTAGTGAAGAGAAAGATAATCACTGATTAGTGAAGAGAAAGATAATCACTGATTAGTGAAGAGAAAGATAATCACTGATTAGTGAAGAGAAAGATAACAATCACTGATTAGTGAAGAGAAAGATAACAATCACTGATTAGTGAAGAGAAAGATAACAATCACTGATTAGTGAAGAGAAAGATAACAATCACTGATTAGTGAAGAGAAAGATAACAATCACTGATTAGTGAAGAGAAAGATAACAATCACTGATTAGTGAAGAGAAAGATAACAATCACTGATCAGTAAAGATAACAATCACTGGAAATATAAAAACAAATGCAGCATAATGTGATCTTTATTGACAACGTTTCGCCCATGCAGTGAGCTTTATCAAGTCACAAACAGATCTACCTGGGTAAAACATACGTGAGTATTTATTGGATGAGAATGCTGGGTCAGGTGGAGAAAGCTACATGTGACAACCTTCCGAGTAGAGTGAAGGAGTATAAAAACTTGGGTAGCTTTAAGAAGAGATTGTGTAAGTATATAAGTAGGTCTTCTGCTGTTTCTCGATTCTTATGTTTTTATATGGAATAGCGATGAAGAAGTTTCTTGGCGAGGGGTTCAACTATGTTTTAGAAGCGTTGTTCTGGCTGAAGTTGTTGGACATACAGATAAGTGATGATTCCAGGATTCTTCGATATTGAGTGTTTTCCTCCCTGGCGATAAGTCTTGCCTTTCTGTAGTTGATTAAATGGTTGTGTGACTTTCGGTGTTAAACACAGGGATTCCTTGGATCGTCAGATCTGCCTGCGTACCGGTCTTCTGAAATACCTGTTTGGAGGTCTCTGGATGATTCACCGACATATAATTTGCTGCAGTGATTACAAGGGATTGTGTATACCCTTGCAGAGGATTGAAGTTTGTCCTGTCTATTACTGGTAATGTCCTTCATGGTAGTGGATGTGGAGGTAGATACTTGGAATGAGATTTTGGAAAAGATGTTGGAAACGTGTTTGGCAATGGAGTTGGTGGGGAGGACTATGTATCTCTTTTCGGCAGTGTCTTCTCTGGGTGTGTTGAAGATGTTTCATGCCCGTCATCTGCAGTCTCTGATGAAGTGATGAGGATAGTGAAGTTTGGAAAATACTTGTTCAATTAGAGAGCATTCTTCTTCAAGGAACTCATTGCTGCAGATTCTGAGTGCACGCAAGAAAAAGCCTATAATTACACCACGTTTAGTTTTGGTGTCGTGGTGAAAGTAGAAGTGGAGAAGATCGTGTTGGTTGGTAGGTTTTCGACAGACTTTAAAACGAAGTTCATGGTCAGCTCTGCAGAGAAGAACATAAAGGAAAGGAAGAGTGTTGTCGACTTCTTCTTCTAGTGTGAACTGGATTGAGGGCTCGACCTGCTTGAGCTTGTGACTGTTCCTTCACAGTAGTGACTGTAACTTCACAGTGGTGGGTGTACCTTCACCGTAGTGACTGTACCTTTACAGTAGTGACTGCACCTTCACAGTAGTGACTACCCCTTCGCAGTACTGACTGCACATTCGCAGCAGTGAATGCACCTTCACAGTAGTGACTGTACCTTCACAGTACTGATTGTACCTTCACAGTACTGATAAACCACAGTAGTGGCTGTACGTTCACAGTACTTACTGCACCTTCAAATCAGGGGGTAAGTCCACTCCTTCAAATTACCGTCCAATAAGCCTGACATCTATAGTGGGCAAGTTATTAGAATCAATTATAGCTGACATTATTAGAACTCACCTTGAAGAGCATAACTTGATAAATGAATCTCAGCATGGATTCACGAGAGGTCGTTCCTGCCTGAGAAACTTACTGACGTTCTTCAATAGAACATTTGAGGCAGTTGACAGTGATAAGGAATATGATATTGTTTATTTGGATTTTAGTAAAGCCTTCGATAGAGTACCTCACAAGAGACTCTTAAGAAAAATGGCAGCTCATGGTATAGGAGGTAAAGTTCTAGCATGGATAGAGGCATGGCTTACCAATAGAACGCAGAGTTACCATTAATGGAGTGAAATCTAAATGGGGATTAGTCACTAGTGGCGTTCCACAAGGATCAGTTTTAGGCCCTCTCTTGTTCATAATTTACATTAATGACCTTGATGAAGAGATTACGAGTGACATGAGTAAGTTTGCTGATGATACAAAGTTAGGCCGTATAATTCACTCTGAGGAGGATAGCAATGAACTCCAGGAGGATCTGGACAAATTAATGTCTTGGTCTGAAAAATGGCAGATGAAGTTCAATGTGGATAAGTGTAAGGCACTAGCCCTTCGTAATGAAAATAACCCTCGAAGCTATAATCTAGGTGAAGTAGAGCTTGATCATACAGAATGTGAAAAAGACTTGGGAGTCATGGTAAGCAGAAATCTAAAGCCAAGACAGCAGTGCCTTAGTGTGCACAACAAGGCCAACAGATTACTTGGATTTATCTCAAGAGGTATAAGTAACAGAAGTCCAAAAGTTATTTTACAGCTGTATACATCACTAGTGAGGCCTCATTTAGATTATGCTGCTCAGTTTTGGAGTGAGATTAACAAGTTAAGGAAGCCTAGAGAAGAAATGGATTTGTCAGTTAAAAATAGTAGAGGAGAGTTATTAAATGGAGAGATAGAGGTATTGGGAAGATGGAGGGAATATTCTGAGGAATTGTTAAATGTTGATGAAGATAGGGAAGCTGTGATTTCGTGTATAGGGCAAGGAGGAATAACATCTTGTAGGAGTGAGGAAGAGCCAGTTGTGAGTGTGGTGGAAGTTCGTGAGGCAGTAGGTAAAATGAAAGGGGGTAAGGCAGCCGGGATGGATGGGATAAAGATAGAAATGTTAAAAGCAGATGGGGATATAGTTTTGGAGTGGTTGGTGCAATTATTTAATAAATGTGTGGAAGAGGGTAAGGTACCTAGGGATTGTCAGAGAGCATGCTTAGTTCCTTTGTATAAAGGCAAAGGGCACAAAAGAGAGTGCAAAAATTATAGGGGATAAGTCTGTTGAGTATACCTGGTAAAGTGTATGGTAGAGTTATTATTGAAAGAATTAAGAGTAAGACGGAGAATAGGATAGCAGATGAACAAGGAGGCTTTAGGAAAGGTAGGGGGGGTGTGGACCAGGTGTTTACAGTGAAACATATAAGTGAACAGTATTTAGATAAGGCTAAAGAGGTCTTTGTGGCATTTATGGATCTGGAAAAGGCATATGACAGGGTGGATAGGGGGCAATGTGGCAGATGTTGCAGGTGTATGGTGTAGAAGGTAGGTTACTGAAAGCAGTGAAGAGTTTTTACGAGGATAGTGAGGCTCAAGTTAGAGTATGTAGGAAAGAGGGAAATTATTTCCCAGTAAAAGTAGGCCTTAGACAAGATGTGTGATGTCACCGTGTTGTTTAATATATTTATAGATGGGGTTGTAAGAGAAGTAAATGCGAGGGTCTTGGCAAGAGGCGTGGAGTTAAAAGATAAAGAATCACACATAAAGTGGAGTTGTCACAGTTTGCTCTTTGCTGATGACACTGTGCTCTTGGGAGATTCTGAAGAGAAGTTGCAGAGATTGGTGGATGAATTTGGTAGGGTGTGCAAAAGAAAATTAAAAGTGAATACAGGAAAGAGTAAGGTTATGAGGATAACAAAAAGATTAGGTGATGAAAGATTGGATATCAGATTGGAGGGAGAGAGTATGGAGGAGGTGAATGTATTCAGATATTTTGGAGTGGACGTGTCAGCGGATGGGTCTATGAAAGATGAGGTGAATCATAGAATTGATTAGGGGAAAAGGGTGAGTGGTGCACTTAGGAGTCTGTGGAGACAAAGAGGGGAATGTTTGAAAGTATAGTTTTACCAACGCTCTTATATGGGTGTGAAGCATGGGTGATGAATGTTGCAGCGAGGAGAAGGCTAGAGGCAGTGAAGATGTCATGACTGAGGGCAATGTGTGGTGTGAATATAATGCAGAGAATTCGTAGTTTGGAAGTTAGGAGGAGGTGCGGGATTACCAAAACTGTTGTCCAGAGGGCTGAGGAAGGGTTGTTGAGGTGGTTCGGACATGTAGAGAGAATCGAGCGAAACAGAGTGACTTCAAGAGTGTATCAGTCTGTAGTGGAAGGAAGGCGGGGTAGGGGTCGGCCTAAGAAAGGTTGGAGGGAGGGGTAAAGGAGGTTTTGTGTGCGAGGGGCTTGGACTTTCAGCAGGCATGTGTGAGCGTGTTTGATAGGAGTGAATGGAGACAAATGATTTTTAATACTTGACGTGCTGTTGGAGTGTGAGCAAAGTAACATTTATGAAGGGGTTCATGGAACCCGGCAGACCGGACTTGAGTCCTGGAGATGGGAAGTACAGTGCCTGCACTCTGAAGGAGGGGTGTTAATGTTGCAGTTTAAAAACTGTAGTGTAAAGCACCATTCTGGCAAGACAGTGATGGAGTGAATGATGGTGAAAGTTTTTCTTTTTCGGGCCACCCTGCCTTGGTGGGAATCGGCCAGTGTGATAATAAAAAAAATTAATAATAATAAACTACAGGATGGATATAGACTCATTAGTGAACATACAGAGAAGAATGACTAAAATGATTTACTGTGTAAGGAACCTCCCGTATGAAGACAGACTTAAAGCCTTAAATCTACACTCTCTGGAGAGGCGTAGAATGAGGGGAGATATCATTGAAGTGTATAAGTGGATGATGGGCATAAACAAGGGAGATATTAATAAAGTACTGAGGGTGTCGAACCAGGTAAGAACCAGAAATAATGGATTTAAGTTGGATTAATTTAGATTTAGAAAGGACATAGGTAAGTACTGGTTTTCTAACAGAGTTGTAGATGCGTGGAACAATCTTCCCAGTGGGTTGACAGAGGCTAGGACCTTGGTTAGCTTTAA